GAGAGAGAGAGAGAGAGAGAGAGAGAGAGAGAGAGAGAGAGAACAGGTAAGTCTCCAACATCGCGGCTGGCCTCAAGGTACTTCCATCGATAGGATGAGCAAAATTGAACGACTCTACTGCTAGAGAGAGAGAGAGGGGCATGGAACAAGGGTAGGAACACACGACCTTCGCCAACAGGTCGACGGTGGATTGCAGCAGCGGAGTGCAACCCCTATTTTTGCGCGGCGGCCTGGAACCTCCCTGCCGGAGGGCATCTCAGGAAGATGCATCCCCCACAGAAGGGCAAAGCGGACAGGAAGCAGGTAAATCGGACCACCGGTCCGGTAGGGGCATTCCGAAAAGTTGTGCCCCTCACTGACAGGGGCCTGCAGGAAAGTTCAGAGGGCCCAGGGGCAAATCAGGGTAAGTCGGTCATCGGAGAGGCAAATGGCAAATAAATGCAAATTTCAGGGACATTTCAAAAATTTTCCCTTTTTTTTTTTTCTTTTTTTTTTTCTTCAACTTTTTGCACATCTTCTCTTTATCTCGTTACAAATTTAACGGATAACGAGCTGAGTCTTTTTTTTGTTTTTCTTAAAAAAATTCCATATTCATAGTATTTTTGGAAAGATAACTTTTAAAATGCCCCTGAAATTTTCGTTAATTTGCGGTTTGGCCCTCTGACGGCCAGCTTACCCTGATTTGCCCTTCTATATAAATTTCTGAAAAAAAACAAGAGTCATTGGACTTGAACTGTGTTCAATGTGCCCCTACCAGTATCCGTGCCAAATTTCCCATATGACCCTACTGGATAGCCGTTGAGTACCGGCACAAGAATTTTCCATACGCCCGTATTGGTACCGTGCATCTTTTTAGTACGCCCCTGTAGGCGTTGCTGGCAATCGCGGTCGTTCCTCTGGCCCTAGGAGGGAAGTTACCTGTGCATCTTTTTTGTTCTTCATTTTTCCGAACGAAATCCCTTTCACCAGCAGCAATAAAACGAACCACTCCGGACAGGGGTAAGCTGATAGCATCAGAATTGAGCTTCTTCCATGGGCGAGTCAATGTACCTCGATGGCATCAGGACCGAGCTTCTTCGATGGGCCGTTGTGCCTCGAGAGATGGTTAATGGAAGACCAAAAATTCGGGGGTTTTCGCCCCATCACCACAAACAATGTCCTTAAACATTTCGCGAACAAACAATGCAGGATCATAATACAAACATCAAAAATTCAAACAGGCGAAAAAAAAAAAAAAAAAATCTCAAAAACACTATAAAACCTTATTTGGAGTAGCTTTCGGAGTTCGCCAAACCCGAAAATGACACCACCTATTAGCCATTAGTGTGTGCGTCACCTCCGGTCCCATCCCCCTACGAACATCAGCAATCTCTGCTCAATGTCGCTCGGGGGGACCAACGACCTACTATCTCTAGATGGTGGGCACCAAGCTTGCCCAGGAAGGTACATGAAGTCGGTTGCATAGTAATCCTGACAAGAAAATTGCCAAACCATAACAAATCGGTCCGTTGTACGTAGGTAAGAAAGAGAGAAGAGGAAGCAGAGATTGATTTTTTTTTTCTCACTCTTGACTCGAACCGCCCAATATTTTTTTTGGGTATCGTTTTTCCTTACCTATAAATATTATTTTTTGCCTCTCAATTATCTGACCCACAACAAATAGTTTTCAAAATTTTGATTTCGTGTCCCTCATCCAAACCTCCCCACACCCTTAAAAATATCATTACCCGCCCATATATAGGACCTAAATTTTTTCCGCCCTTGTTAGTCCTTTACAATTAACCAATACCATGATATTACAACAAGACATTACGACATAAAACAATTTGATATTCACGAAGTCAAAGCAAATCACTTTAAGAGTTTATTATTAAGCAAACTATATGGTGTTTATAATTTTTATAAAGTTGAAGGTGAAACACGCTGTAAATCAATTATGTTAAAAAATAAATAAAATTTCATCTAATTTTATGTATTTATCGCTTTTGTTTTATTACCAAATGTCGTTATCTATGGAATCACCGACTCAGAGTGTGTTTTTATGCATTACTTCCATCTTAAATTACATTTGCTCTTTAAGCTTAACGCATAGACATGTGAAACTGCATGAGTGACTTGCCCCATAATAGGCAAAGGAGGGAGCAATACTTGTTTATCAATTGTAATGACAATCATTCATTTTTCTTTTCATTACGGAAGCAAGTTAAACAAATATTTTTGTCCTTCCCCGACCTTAATATAAAATAATGATAAAGTTTTATTCCAATCTTTTCGGCTATAATCATCATCATTGTTATAACTCTGCTCGACATTCCTTTATTCTCTTTGTTGGAGTTGCAAAACCATGGTTTTTTTTTTTTTTTTTTTTTTTTTTTTTTTTTTTTTTTTTTTTGCAGGGCATTTTTCACATCTCTACCGTCATCGAATATGGATCATTATCAACACTCTCAACGACATTTTGCATAAATGTTTTTAATGAAGGTTTGTCTCGTTTAACTTGTATGAACAAAACTTCAAACATTTTAAACCCGTTTTTCTAGCAATAATCAAACAATGCAAAAATTACACAAAAATCTTATAAAGGTCATTTGCTTGTCAATACTGCACATTGTCGAGTGCATCAGGAGCCCTCCCGACCATGTCACGCGGTCGGGACAGAAACCCCTTAGAGGGTTTCTGCCGAAGTTTTTCAAGGTCAAACACTGTCCGATTTTTTTTCATTTAGGAACATGATGAGATTGATGTTGCCAAAGTTATTCAGACCAACCTTATAACTGAAAGACCTAAAGCCTAACGTCGTTGACGTGTGACGTCATTGACGTTTGTTCGAGACAGTAGGAGTCGGCACTGGCGTTTGCGGTTCTCGATGTGGGCGCAATAGTGTGCGGTCATGAAAAAGTTAAAGTTAGGCCCAGTCTACCTAAAATAATGTCGTGCGGCTGCTAAGCCGCGCGACTCAAGAACTAAGTGGGCTAAAAAGGAGGGGTGCGTCGGGTATAGGACCGCGACGCAGGGAGGAAGGACGACATTTTCTGCAGGGGTTGGCGGACCGATGCCACAGCCACGCGGTCTACCAACGGGGTAAGGCCTGTCGGCAGGGCCTAGAAGGACACAGGCAGGCAGACTGGGCCTGCGAGGTCACAGGCACGCAAGCAGGGCCTGCAGGGCCACAGACAGGCAGGGCCTGCAAGGCCATAGGCGGGCGGGGCCTGCTAAGCCCCGACTCGAGGGGTGACAACTGGGCTAGCTCTTCTTATAGAAAAGCTGCTCCTATCACTGTCGTGATAGGAGCCAGCCCAGTAGGTTACAGCAGACGACTCTCACCTGGCTGATACCGGGATCGAACCTGATATGCCGACCTACTGGGCGAATCTCCTTTTGGAGCAGCCCAAGTAGTGGGGCGTGACTGATTTCGACCGCGCGATCATCAGGATCGCACGGCTGCGATCGGCCCCATAAGGTAGCATGGCCCTTGCGTAAGGATGACACGCATAAATCAAGAGACGATCCAAGTTTTTTTTTCTTTTTTTTGGGGAAAAAAAAAAAGAATGAGAAAAAACTTACCTACCCGCATCTGGACGCGTAAGTGTCCGGATACGGGCTTTGTAGAGATGGCAACGACGTCGAGGTAAGTCGTTCCTTCTTTTTTTTGTTTTTTTTTTTGTGGCCACTAGGCCGAAATGACGCGTAGGGGGGGGAAGCAGCCGTTGAAAAAAAAAACAATATAAGAAAAAAAAAAGAAAAACTAATGAACTAAAATCTGGCGCGCCAGCTGACGCGCGTTAAAGTGACTGGGAACTCTGAGGTTCCTTGTAGTGCTGCAGGCGCCCGTTGGAAACGGGCAGCCACGTTAAGGTGGGAATTATGTTGTTGTTGTTGTTTTTTTTTTTTTTTTTTTTTTTTTTTTTTTTTTTTTTTTTTTTTTTT